TTTAGGTTACAATATTGGCCACCCCTTCAGTTAACCTTCGCTTCCCATAGGACTAATAGGTAGGTGGGTCAAGAGGTTGGCAAAGTTACCACCCATCTCTTGGACCCCCTATAAAAGGGAAGGACCATTCACCTGGCCCTTCCTCGCTAGCAACCCCTGCATCAACCCCTATCTGCTTTTACTCCCCTTGAGTCCCACTTGCTATCCCCAACCCTTGCCTCTACTTTGATCTCTTGATCTGCAGTCAAGAGAACCACACTTTCTGGCTGATTCTGGTTGTGTGTGAATTCCTTTGTTTCCATTTCTTCCCCTCCATTCTTCATTGGAACAACCAAGCTGCAAGACAGATAAGTATCACCCACCATCACCCCACCTACTAATGCAACTGTGCTTCTTTTAATACTGTAATTCTTGATTGAATGTGCATCAGTATTGTTTGTATGAGATATATTTTCAAGTAAAAGACATCTATTTTAACTACAACAGCCTCAAATCCTTTACTGGTAACCCTTGGTGGGAACGGGACCTTGGTATAAATTGGCAAGAACCCATTTATAAATTGCCATTTGCTGTAAATAAAGCAATTTGGCTAACAACTAGAGATTTGTTAGTTTGGCAACTGTGGACAGGAGACTCGGGAGGAGGCAGGTTATTGTTTTGTAAATTACACACATTCCACTTTAATTCCAAACCAATTTCAGCTATCAACAAACATGCACCAAGCTGCCAAAGCAGCAGCTGCCCTTTTAAGCACCTAGTCTTAGAAATGCATACCACATAGTCACAGAAATAGCACTTGATTTCCCATTATGAGCAGAAGAGTGTTTGGGGGCAACGGAATTCTCCCCAGAATATATTCAGGCAATGAGTGAAGGGTAAGTTCATGAGTTCACACTTCAACAACAACACTAAAACACAAGTAGAGATATGTGAAATTTTACAAGCATTACAGAGTTTTACAGCCTTCCTTCTTTTACATGTAGCCAGTTCAGAGGTCGATTTGGGGGGGATCGCGGGGGATCGCCATTCCCCCGGGTGAGGTGCAGGGGGGCGGGGCACACGATGAAGCCCTGCTTCCGGCCACCCCGCTTCAGGCCCTCATTCAGCCAGGAGGAGGCAGGAGAAGAGGGAGGGTAAGTTGCTTCCTCCCCGCCTCTCCCCACCCCTGCCCGCCTGGGGCCAGGGAGGGCCTTGGCAGGGCTTCCTTGCACTCCCGTCGGCCTTGCAAGTCTACTGCCGGGCCCCTCATGGGGCTCGGCAGTGGAGCTGCAAGGCCGGCGGCAGCCGAGACCATTGGGGGCGGGGGGGCCCTTCGCGGCAATACCTTGGAGATTTTGGGGGTGGAGCCTGAGTGGGTTTAGATTCAGAGGAATTAACTGTGTTAGTCTGTTGCTGCAAAATAGTCCAAAAGTTCAAATAGCACCTTTAAGACTAACAAATAGCACCTTTAAGACTAACCTTTAAGACAAAGACTAACTGAGTGGTGGGTGTGGACTTATGACACACTTCCGGTGATGTCAGGGGGTGTGGCCTTATGACGCACTTCTGGTGATTTCAGGGGGTGTGTCATATGCTAATGAGTTATGCTAATGAGTTCCCCTAGCTCTTTTTCTACGAAACGACCCCTGAGCCAGTAGTATTAATTAATTGCTTGTTATCACATTGTTCCCTGAGAGGAAATTGCTTTATTTTTTGCAGATAAAATGATTACTCAGTTAAAATGTAATCATAATTTCATAATAATACTGCTACAATTATTTCAAAAAATTAAAAGCACTTTGACTGCAAAGAGAAAAGTAGCACTTAATCCCCCTTCCAGCAAGAAATTATAATTAAATTGAAGTCAAATGGAAGACACAAAATTTAAAGTGACCATAGCCTTAAGACATCACAACAGGACTTTGACTGTCTACACCACAAAGGCTGACACTGTGGTTGCATTTAAGTTTTAAAGTCAGAACACAGGTTTAAAATACAAAAAAAGGAAAATACTGGAATGCAGTGGGCTACCAAATACATTTTCTGAATTCTCCATAATCAAAATTAGTTGATTATGGAGTTAGTATCTTCATTGCTTTTTAAAATATTTGTAATTTTTTAAATGACTTTTGCTCTAAGCCACTTTGGAGTAACTTGTGGAGAAGCAAAGTAAATTAATAAATAACATTCCAGACTAAACAGCTAAGGTAGAACCAGCCAGTATAGTATGCTTCTGCATTAAATCAAAAGCCAGCCTTCAGGCTGCTTTGAGCGGTGGTGGGAGAGAGTTCTGCCTAAGTCCCACACAGGCTTTTGATCTACCGTGTAAGTACCAGATCCCTGCTGGGAGCTAGCAGTATCGGGGGAAATCAGAAAGCAATTGTTGCCCAATTGAGCTGTTGGCTGGGTGTCTCCCATTTTACTCATCTTGTTCTTACACATTTGAAGGATTTGTTCTCTAAGATTAGTTGCCATGCAACAAGTGCACATTCACTTGACTCATGATTAGCTGGGTATCTCCTGCGATAATCTGCACATTATACATGCAAATTATGCAGACACACCTGAACCCATTTCTGAGATTTAAATATGGGGGCTGCAATACACCCCATTGTCCTGTTTATTCTATACAAGAGATCAAAGAAGTGAGATAACATAATGTGAATTTTAATTCTTTCAACCAATTTTTCCTATTTAAGAGCTGCAAAGCTACAGCACCCCCACATGGCCAATTTACATAATACAATGGGTAGCTGTTAAAAGGAACAGAATTTATTATTACACGATGTTCTTCTACCAGGACCGCAGGGTAGCATTCACAGGACTATGTCATTTTATTGTCAAATCAAGCCTGAAAAATAGGTTAGATTAAGAGATAAAGAGAGATTAGGGGGAAAGACTGGTTCATTATTACCCTAAACTGAAGCTCCGAATTCCAGCTCAACACTCTATAAACTACATCACACTTGCTCTGTACTGCAGATTTTAATTTCTGGAAGCATTTTCCTACATTGGACACTACCGGAATTCTGAGAACAAGTAGTGAGCACCACCACAAAATGGCTGTCACAAAAGGGGGGGAGAGAACACAAAATGTTGGGTGGTTGCAAAACCAACACCCTCCTCTATGAAAGAGGTAGCTGTTTCTGAATAGGTGCTTCCTAAAGATGTGATGCCCTTCTCGGCTCTTCCAAAACAATTCCTCCAATGAGGTACAGGAAACTAGACATGGGCTCTGTGCTTTGTAACATTCTGCTGGATATTGAACCAAGTCTAATAGATGTATACTTCCATTAAAGGTAAAGGTTCCCTTGCTCGAAAGCCAGTCGAATCCGACTCTAGGGTTGCGGTGCTCATCTCCGTTTCAAAGCCGAAGAGCCAGCGCTGTCTGAAGACGTTTCCGTGGTCATGTGGCCGGCATGACTAAACACCAAGGCGCACGGAACGCTGTTACCTTTCTCAAAAAAAGTTCACAATAAAATACATTGTGTTAGTCTTTAGGTCACTACTGAACTCCCATGCATCTTTGCTTTCAGGAAGAAGGATGTTGAAACATCAGCAAACACCATGTTGGGGACCACTGATCTATACTAAGAGGATTCGGTATTGTGCATGCAGTTGGAAAATGAGCATAGATTAAATGACTGTGAATATCATAGAGTGGCTTTAGTACAACTCAAAACAAATGGAGCATTTCAGAAAATCAAGACAGTTGGTGTCTTACAATCCATAGGAATGATGAAGTGTGCATGCACATGAAAGCTTATACCCAGAAATAAACTTTGTTGGTCTTAAAGGTGCCACTGGACTCCAGTTTTGTCCTAATCCATAGGAAGGTGAACCTGGAACAAGTGGCAGCAGATTAATATTGCGCTGTGAGAAACAGCTTCAACAAAAGATACTTCTTCCCTCTTCTTATTAATTAGAAACTGTTTACAAACAGCAACAAACCCCTACCTGGATTACTCAGAGCAAAACATAGACAAATTTTTGTTATTTCTCTACGTATTCTACTTCCATTTTAGTTTTGGAAATAGCTCACTCATGACTGGGAACATGTTTGTCTCTTGCTAAATCAGAATGCTGCAAAACTGCCATAACGAATAGTTTGAACTCACCATTACCTCAGAACCAGAGCATGCTTTGACTTGCAAAGCTCATCCCTGAAACATGAGGTGATAATAATGAAGTTTCCATAAGCAGAATACATTTGCCCCACTAATAAGCATGAAAAGCCCACCATACACCTGGGAAGAGAGACGGGGCTTCCTGGTAATAGCAAAATTATGTTTAGGTACACTTCTTGCAGACTAGTTTATGAGATGGTGCCAAGCCTTGAAAGAGTACCTCCCTTTCCATAATACTTCAATGCAAAAGTAACTGGAAGTGTTTATTTCCTTCATTCGGTTGCTGCTGTGCTCTTCCTTTTTGCAAAGGGCATATTATTCAAGTCACAATCCTAAATAAACACACGTGTAGCCTGATTTTATGCCAGTTTTACTCGGAAGTACATTCAACTGGTTTAGCTCTCAAGTAAGTGTGCATAGGATTGTACCTTTCCCTTGAAAGAAAACCCCATCGTAAACGGTTCTTTCACATTAAGCATGGCTAGGTTCCATTTGCCAGAATTCGTGGGAATGAAGAAGATACTTGATCGGGAATGTGTGTGTGGAAGGAATGGAGTTGTTCCCTCCTTTGTAAATTGCAGGAGAAGCAGCACTATCACCTTGAAGCTTGGGTGCCACGTCGTTCCTCCCACTGCCTCGTCAGAATCGCGCGCAGGCTTGATTCGTTACGCGCGGGGATGCAAAAACGCCTACATATTCCACAGGGCTTAGCCGTTGTGGTGGTTTTCCTGTCTGCTAGGGGTTTGTTTGTTTTTTTGAGAGTTCGGTGGAGGCCTTGCTTTCCCAGCATGCAGAGGGAAA